TGCCCCCCCCCCCCCAGGGGAGTGTGGTTGGCGGGTGCTCTGGTGTGGTTTGCCCCTTCTTTACTATAAATAATCTATCTTTTCTATCTCCCCATCTTTTTTTTTGTGTTTGTTACTCTCTTGTAACACTTCTAATCTTCGGCACTTATATGACCTTATGCAGTTGCGAGCATCATAAAACCTCTACTAAAAAAATCAAAACCTCCCCTCTGGATACTGGGAAAGAGTATGCATGTGTTATCCTTTGCACCTACGCTGGTGGTTGGTGGGTGCTCTTGTGCGGTTTGCTCCTTCTTTCCTATCAAACGTTTATCGTCCTCATTTCTCCTTTCCTTTGTATGTTACTTTCTAGTAATAAATACCTCTGTGGGTGGTTAGTGGGTGCTCTGGTGTGGTTTGCTCCTTCTTTCCTATAAAAAAGTCCGTCATCCCTATCTCCCCTCCTTCTTTTTTTGTGTTTGTTACTCTCTTGTAACACTTCTAATCTTCGGCACTTATATGACCTTATTGTGTTGCAAGTGCCGTAAAACCTGTACTAAAACTAAATATGTCTGAAGTATTTTGTTGAATGTGAATTGTGTATTTTCCCTCCTATGTGAACGGTTCTGCAAAGTTTTTTCTCCTTCATTTTGCAGCTGTGTGATAAAATGGCGGTTTTCATCTCGTGTGGATGTCCAGATGAAGGCTTTCATGAAAGGATTCAACGCCCTCATTCCTCAAAATTTACTACAAATATTTGACGAGAATGAAGTTGAGGTAATATTGGAATACTGATGGGCTCAGGGATTGTTTTTCGTATCTATTCTCTTAAATAAAGTGCAACAAATATTTTTCTGTCCTTATGTGTTGAAAAAGTTTTCAAAAAAGTTGAAAGGGGTTAAGAGAACTGTATAATTTGAATTCCACTTTTAAGCCTCTGGCATGTTTTTTTTTTTTTTTTTGGAATACGGTACCAAAAGATATTGCATTTCTTCTGCAATTTTAAAACATGAACTCAGTTTTAAGCATGAACTTGTTATTTTGTGTTTTTACGATCTTTATCAGTTTTTATTGTTTTTTTTTTTTTAAAGTGAGTTTGTAAAGAAACAATCATGAAAATAAATTAACGAAGTATTATCCTAAACATTTCTCCCTTTGGATTTGAAGTAAGGTTAGTTTGTTGGAGAGAGAGTCAAACTGGTATGTAGATATCATTGTTGCATTGACTCATACCTGTCACTGAGCCATTTATTCGTATATGTGAGTCAATTACAGATCCTTTTCTTGGGGTGGTTGGCAGGCATTTTGATGTGGTTCGCTTTTTTTTTTTTTCCCTATCAAATATCTTGTCATCCATATATGCTCCTTCTTTCCTATCAAACATCTGTCGTCCTTATCTCCCCTCCTTCTTTTTTGTGTTTGTTACTCTCTTGTAACACCTGTAATCTTCTGGCACTCATATGACCTTATACAGTTGCGAGCGCCGTAAAACCCTCTACTAACACTAAAATCCATATGTCCTCTCCTTTTCTGCATATGTTGCTCACTATGAACAGTGTTCATCTTTGGCATGTAGATGAACTGTTTGTGTCACAAGTACCAACCAAAATAAACGTAGAAGTCAGACTGATATGTAGTAGTTATCATCATTGTTATAATATCTCCCAATTGTCACTGAGCCATTTACTCATGTACACGAGTCAGTTTGTAGAAAACTGATTTGAGGGGATGTTTTCTTCCCAAGCTACCCCACACATCTAACTGCCTCTACTCCTCAAGACAACAATTAGAACAGACGTGCAGCTATTACAGAACGGCATCATGCAGAAGAGTTAACGCTCAGATGCTACTGGATCGCTAACAACAACAATAACAACAACAACAACAACAACACGAGTCAGTTGGAAATCCTTTTCCGGCACCAAGGTCGCTGTGGTGACCCTTGTTTTGTTTTGTGTTTTCTTCCAGCTTCTGATGTGTGGCCTGCAAGATATTGACGTGAACAACTGGAAGCAATACACAGCCTACAAGGGGGAGTATAACCCCAACCACCCAGTCATCATCCACTTCTGGAAAGTAAGTCGTCCATAACCTGTCCCCGTCGTTTTATGCAAGAAAAATTCTTATATTAAGCAAACTGAGACCAAAACTATGAAATTATGTGATTCTTTTGATTTTAACTAAGAATGATAAAAGGAAAATAATCAGAAATTCTGCAGAAAATAATCGAGTTTTGCTAAATTAAGATGGGTGCATAAAACCACAGGGACAGAATAACGTTAACTCATCTCCAGATTGCAGATAGTTTTTGTTTTATTTTATTTTTGTGCTTTTTTTGTCTTTTGAATTTAGTTGTTTTTACAACCTTCTCGACGCAGTTTAGATCATTTAGGAGGCTGGCTTCGACTCTGCCCGTGGGGGCCAGCGGAGGCTGAGAGGGATACAACTTCCTAAAATACTCGAGAAAAATTCTCCCCATATCGGAATAGAACACGGGTCTTCAGCATGCAATGATAAAGTGCTTTGCCGCTACACCGCGGTTGCCAGTTTTGATGATTTTTTCTTCTGATAACTGCTATCAACAAATGTTACTTTTTTTTAGTTTTTTAAATTTGTATCGATTTCTTAGTTCTGTACTTAAACAAGCAAAGACTTCTGTCCTGGCTGTTCAACTTTTCCATAAACTGATGCACAGTAAACTCTGTTGGGTTACTGGCGGGTGCTCTGGTGTGTTTGCTTCTTCTTTCCTATCAATCATCTTTCGTCCTTATTATATCCCTTTCTTCTTTTTTATGTTTGTTACTCTCTTGTGACACCTCTAACCTTCTCTGCCGTCGTAAGGGAAAACAGCGAATGGTCAAAAATTTTAGATTTTTCAAATTTCTTTATATTTCATAGAGTATTTAATTCTGCATCTGGTGGTGTAAAAATTTTTTGTCATATCCTAATCCGTTGTTGCGTAATTGAAAGTTCGTCGTTTTCCCTTACACTGGCGAGCTCCGAGCCAGAGCTCAGCGTAAGGGAAAACGACGAATGGTCGATCGGTCAAGGATCACTGCTCGTTCGGCATTGTCCCCTGGTCTCTGCCGTTGGGCAAATTCGGCATGGGCGACAAATAACAATTGGTCACTGTCTCGTCAGTACAAACATACTAGGTTTTTTTCAAACACACCACCACCCCCTCCCCCGGAGTACCATCGACCAGGTTTAGAAAATGTATCACTTAGTGTGTCTTTCTGTCTGCCTTCACGTATTAGGGCTATGCTGATGGTGTGAATTGACAAGAGCAGGGGGGAGAGAGGGGAAAACGGATGGGAACAGGGGGAAAGGGGTGGGGATGGGAGGGTCAAAAAAGTATTTAGGGAGAAATTTATTAGCACTGCATATTAGTGTCCGCCAGATGTTCACAGACTAACGTCATGTTAGTTTGCTGTCCAGTCATTTGACATCCCAAATCCCAACGATGGTTATAGTGCCGCAATTTGTCTAGCACGTGTCACTGGTCGACATCATTATAGAATTACCAAGCAATTAATGACACTGCGTTATGAGAGTAAATTTCTTTGTCCAACTTAAAAAGTGGAGGTATTGTGGCGACACTTAGTCTTGCTTAACAATTTTTTATAACTTGATGGACGTTACGATGGAGTATAATAATGTCTTGCAGATTCAAACTGTCCTTGTCGATCTGTACTTTGTGGTATGTTTTCCGATCCGATCAACTGAATCCTTTCTTTAATAAATACAAAGTGTCGCATTACCTCTCCTGAAAGCGTTTGAGAGAGTCTTGTCAGATCGTGAAAGTTTGACTTTGCAATGATCTGATCGTATTATTGACATTGTAACATTGTTGATTCCCTTTGTCGTGCAGGGAAAATTTTGCAATTAACGATAATAAATGTAAAACTCGCTTCTGAAGAGAATACAATAAAGAGATATCGTGGAGACCAAACTTTGGCTCCGAATGAGACAGTTTTAAATCAAGCTGTTGAAAATGTGTGCACATCTGATTTGTACACTGACTGTGTAGTATTTAACCAAGCGAGGAAGGGAAACGAAGGATGTTTACCGAGTTACAGTTGGAATATAACAAACACCTAACTTTATACGTATAATAGCTAGTTTGTATACGTCTTATTTTTATTTGTAGTAACCAGTACACAGTCATTACTGTCAATGCGTCACAACTGACCATCGCCAACGCCCATAAACGTTCACGAGTGTAAGGGAGAACGACGAACCGTACCATTCGTCATTTTCGCTTACATCGCAAGGCTCACCTGAGGGTGCGCAATGTAAGGGAGAACGACGAATGTCGAATAACTGCTACTTTTTAACCATAAACCAATCAAACTTTAGAAACTGCTTTATGAACACCTCAATCAGATATCTGGTGAATTACAGCTTAAAAGATTGAAAA